AAACTTCATTTTATCAATTCATTTTATTGTAACAAACGAGTTCTAGACTTTTGTGCTTTCAAAATTGCAAAATAGTGCATTTGTCACTGAAAAAAATTGTTATCAGTAATAATTGACAGTAAAAAATGAAAAATTCTCACTTTCTAAACTTCATTTAATCGACAAACAACTTTTCCCATCCACTATTCAAATTTTTAATTTCATCAATTCATTTCCCCGATATGTTGTCTCCCAGCGAAAGTGATTCGATATATGGTCACGTGAAAAAAACCGAACACTCACCCACCTCCTCCCCAGCGCCCCGCCGACCATTTCCATAACGGGATTTTATTTCCATTTTCCTGGGTCGAGAGGTTATAACCTCTGTAGACTAGTCTATCCGAACGCGGGTGAAATCTCAAGTATTTTCTGAATGAAAAAAAAAAAGGTAGAAAACGCGGTTTAACGAAACGGCTTCAGCCGGCGGTGGAGTGAGAAATGAAAAATATTGTTGATTTATGTGTCGCCGTTAGAATAAAAGGGCATCGTCTCGGTGGAGGGTGGAATAACCCCGGGAATTAAGGGACTTCATCTACCTGTCACAGAGAGAAACGCGTGAAAAATATGTACAGATGTAATAGAAGAACACGAGAATTTAACGGAAAGAAAAAAACGACGGAAAAAAAATGTATTAAACTTTGACGCGAGATGCTGGAGTTTGGGATTTGAAGTTGGAGGGAAGTGAAGCCTTCGGAAAGACCCGAGGCAACGAAGTTTTGCTGTACAAGAGGGAGGGGGCGGGGCGGGGGGAGGTAGTGAAACCCGTAGAAGACCTTTTCCCCTTTTTCGTCTGGAATCTCTGGTCTGCGGAACGGAAGTCCCTCCGCCCGGGAAAGTTGACGTATTCACATTTCTTTCGCAATTTTTTCCCTCAGTCAGATAATACCCCCTGGTAAAAAAATCCTAGTCTTTGTTCATCCTCTCCAACGCACACTGAAACGGGAAAACGAGTCTTCCACGATTATGAGCAACGCCAAAATCCTCCCCCGGTTTATTACTTTTTCCTCCCCGTTGTTTTGTGATTTTCCCGGCTGCTTTTTTTTGGGGGATTTTTCTCTCCCGTTGGACTCATCTCTGCTCGGTCCTCTTGTCCTCTTGCCTTTCCCATCGTCGTATCTCTCGAATTCCAAACCGCTACAGCGATTTGTCGGGGAGACAGCTTCTATCACTGGCAATCAATTACGACAGGACGTGTAATCCTCGCGGTAATCGCTGCCCTGTTTTGTAGGTTAAATACTGGGAGCGACGGTTTTTGCATTTTATGGGGTTTAAATTTTTTGGGGGGCTTGTTGGAAATTTTTATCACGTAATTACAGTGAAATTTTAATGAATTTCGGCACTGATAATTCAAATTTCTACTGAAAAATTAGTGGAAATTGGTGAATTTAGTTCAATTATTCCGGAATTATTCCGGAACAGCGCAACGAAATAAAATTTGTTGCCAACTTCACAAAAAAATTCTTCCACATATGTAAATGCTTACGCAATATTGAGCAGTAATTCACATTCGTGGGATAATTTATGACAGTATCAATGTTGAATTTTACATTTTCGTCTAATTACCCTCCCGTTTAGTAAATTTTCTCAAGTCAGCGGAGAAAAATTCACTTCAATTCATTTTCTCGCATTTTTTGCGGAAATGCATTCCGCTCCACAATTACATAAAATTCAATTACTTTCCAAGATTCAAAAATTTTTTCCGCAATCAGCGACAGAATGTACAGACCCAGAAATTTTTCGTGTACTTCATAAAAAAAAATTCAGATCATTTTTTCTGTCTCTTGTAAAAAAAATTCACCTCAAAAAATATTTCCATACCGGAACTCTCAATAACTAATAAATCTATTTCAGTTTTAAGAACGACAATGGCGTCACACTGAACTGCGCGGCAAATAGTCGCCAAGGCATACTACCTCGCGGCTTAGTCACCACAAAAACGGTGACCGGAAAAAAATCGTTAAATGAGTGTTGGGGAAAAACCAACGACTGCCGTCTACGTGCCTACCTTGTATCGATCTTGTTGCGGTAGGTCTCGGTGTCGGGAGGGCGAGACGTCGACTCTTATCCCAGTTCAAGGATGAATTTCAAGGGCGCCAAGCGTGTGTAGCGCACACATATTTTCGACCCTCATATCCTCGAGGGTGAAATAAAGATCTCCCGAAAAAAAAAAAAAAACGGAGAAATGTCGCAGAAGGAAGTGGCAAGAGGGAAAGCCTCGATGAAAATAAAAATAAATGAACAAGAAGATCTTCCCTCCGTACGCTTGTGTGTCAGTGGAATAACGCCATGTTGCAATAGGCAAGAGAGCTAATGGCATTTGACTGGAGTTCATTGTGCCTCGGAGTTCATTATTCCCCGGGAATTCCATATAATCTCTCACTATTTTATTTTTCATCCGTCGAAAGGTTGAATTCAGAAGATTTGTTCGACGTCCAGTCGACATTTAATGCCTCGATTTATCGTAATCGGGTAAAAATACGAGTGGGTTTTCTACATAAAGAAGTAAATAACTGAACGTTAAAAAAAATTGACAAGTTTGCTTTCCAATTACGAGACTCCTTAGCTTCGCTCCTTGAACGGCTAAGTGAAATCGAATTATCGATGCGACTTTTTTTTAAATTTAAACTCAGAGATGATTTTTCAGACTTCCCTTTCGCATCGCCCATATCGGGCGGCCTCTATTAATGAAGTTTTTCAATTAATTGAAAATTCAGGATGCAAAGGGGAAATTTTCATATCAATTCGTTATTTTTTGGAATAAAACACAAGAAAAATTCTAGTGCTGATACCAGAAAATTTATGGGTCTGTGAATTTTGTCGTTGGGTTTTTCCATTCTTCATAAGCTCGAAATTTTTTGAATTAAAGCACAAAAAAAATCAGTGCTTCGTTATACAAAAAGAAATGAATAAATAATTCATTTAATTCAAATGAACCATTTATCTGGAGAGCTATATGTCCTCTACTACCCCCCAAGTATTTCAATTTCCAAATATTGGACATATTGGCAGCCCGTAAACTGCAAACTTCCGGTTCACCCGTCGTCTTGAAGCCAGAATTTAATCAATGTGCCTGGAGTTACCCTTGAAGATGCCTCCGAGGGTATTGAGTTACTCCGGTGTAATATTTCTGATTAATTGGAGAGGAAAAGCCGGACTTCCGGTCTTTGTAATAGGAATTCGAAGAGAATGAACTTGGTGGAGAAGTTATTCATGGGCGTAGTTGGCCATTGGCAAACCCACGCAGTGATTCAACTCTTGGTCCACTCTGATGCACCGACAGGCCACTCCCCAACCGTAAGGTAAAAAAAAAAACATCAGACGTGACTCGAAAGCTCAGACTTACGATCACGAGTCACGCTATCTACCCATTTCCATCGAGTGTGGAGGGGGTGGGGGGGTATTTATTGTATCGAGACGCTGTGTGTGCGATTCAATTTCGATTCACTCGGTTAGATACCGTCACTCACTTCTATCTCACTATCTAACACCGCTGTGAGAATCTCAAGAGACTTGGAGACGAGTTTTATGTGTCTTATCCGGGGGAAAGAATAGAAATATTTCCTGCAATTTTTTTTTATGGACAAGTTATTCAAATGAATTGTTTAGACTTCAAGGAACTCAATACGTGAGAAATTCAACGAGTTATCATTTTGTTAACTCAATGCAAATTATTAAATTTCATCTATTTATGATAATAAAATAAAATAGATCTCATCTATTTATGATTCAATGTCTTAAGACGCAAATTCATTTTTTAATCATTTATTTTTTCCCATTATAAGAACGACACAATTAGCAAAGTTTTGCTTCGAATCTAAAGATAATTTCATGTCAATAATGGAATAAAAAAAATTCTGGGAGCATCTCTATTGTTTTAGTTTTTTTTTGGGAGCTAGTGGTTCAAACCGAAAAAGATGAAACAGGCCGGAGGGTTTTTATTGTGCCAGCGCCAATGATCGTCGGCGAGAAATCCCGAGGGTCGTTGGACCTCGGGCCTAGTAAATCATTCGCGGTTGGATTTTCGTAGGCTAGACTGCAGAAAACCCAAACAGCCGTGCATCACGCGAATCTTCGCGCTATTCCGCGAGTTTGAAATTTCTGCTTTTGAGATATTGAGTGACCCGATGAATGCACAAGAATACACGCATACGAGAACGTCAGATTAAAACTCCCCGATTTTTTCTCATTCTCAAGATATTTTTTCAAGTTTTAAAATGAGCCCTGATATCAAAATTTCATTGTTTGGCCACGAGCTATTCGCGACTGAAGACGATTCATTTTACCACTGAGTAAAAAAAGAATTGATTGAACGAATAAATCCTGCACCGCCGAAAGAATAAATGAGTTTGTTAATTAAATTTGAGTGCATCGCCTCGCAGAAATGGATCCGCCGATAAAACGTCCTCGATTAAAATAAATAATGCCCTCTCCAAATGACGAAAAAATAATTGAAGCTGAAGAAAATAAAAATGGTAGAGTCCCGAAATTGACATATTCAAATGTCTCCCCGAAGAGAATAAAATCAGGCATCGGTATTCCACGTGCAAAAAGGCAACCTTTGCATTTTGAAATTTCCCCGAGAAATGAGATCACGTCAAAAAGGGAGGGGGGGGGAAATAGGGGTGGGCCACCGTTGTCCGCTGATGTATTCGTACTCGTGATGTACGTGAATGTGAAATAGACGCGTTAAAGTTATTCGTGTGGAGAGGAAGGGTGGTGTGAGTAGGAAAAAAGATTTCCGTGCATGGCTGAGTCTGCATGGATGTTCAGGGAGTGTTTCCATCCCTCGTTCACGCTTCACTCCATGCCCACACGGTATCAGAAATTGGATGGATACATGGAGATGCTTTCGATGGGTCCTTTTACCCTTTCCTTCGGGCGCAGATTTTTTTTCTCTCGTTTTTTTTGTGGACTGAATGGAAAATGCTCTCTCGGGGAGAGAGACTGTCGAGAGTTCTTACCTTGATATGATACGAGTTGAGCTTGGTCTTGGGCAGGCTGTTGAATGCACTGAAATCCAAGCGACGGGAGAAGATACCGTTGGCCCCACAGCTTTGACTGCAACAATAAAATGTAAAAATACTTGAAAACTCATGCAACAATTGTGGTAATTGTTGCAATGCGAATTTATTCATTCGAATATATTTCATTATTTTACTAAATCAATGTAAAAACTATTTTTTATTGAAATTCCTTCATTTATTAAATTTAAAAACTAATGAATTCAATTAAAAATGAATCAATTTTAGCTAAATTCCATGAAAACTCAAATTTCAATTTTATAAACAAAATGCAAATATCTGAAAATCACGAAAATTCAATACATAATTTTTAACCGAATTGAAATTTACCAATTTATTGACATTTCATTATATTAAAAATAGATTCAACAAAAATGAATTAAAATAAACCACAGAAAATTACCCAACAAAAAATTTGAAAAATCCAACTCCACGACTTCATAAACACCGCTCCCCTCTCCCAAAAAATCCCACCAGTCGCCAAACTCCCTAATACAGAAATGAAGTCACGCATTGTTAAACGCATATTGGCCTTCACCTTGGCCTCAAGCGTCACCGTCTTTTCGATGGGAATGTGTTTATTTTGAGCCTGTGTTTCTCACCCATTGGGGTCGCCAAAACACCCGATGCATTATGCAACTCGATACACACAAGCCGACTGGAAGTCTGCCTGGAATATTCATGTCACCCCTTCCCTCATCGATTATACCCGTGACATTTAATTAGCCATTGAATAATAAATTCCGGGGGATGAATAATCGCCCGGTGTTGTCTTTTTACGACATTATTCATCCGACAATTTTCGCGGAATGTCGTTTACCATCGAACCACGGAGGAACTGAAATACGAACAAAAGGCCGAGCCTCGAGTCAACGACGCGAAATATCCAGTGTTAAAAATATTTTATATCCAAATTTATACCCAGAGTTGAAACAAAAAAATGAGGAACACAGAGAAGACCGGTTTTCGGCTATTACCGGAGGGCATATCTCGATGAGAATGCGCGAGGGGGCGGCCTCTGCACTAGAATAATAAAATAATTTTGAAAAACGCCACACCTAGACGAACAAAAAAAACTCCCAAATATCCGAGTGTATTCTTTTTATTGCTGATCAATAATCTTGGAATCGAACGGTGGCTTCTTGATGCGTTCGTCTCGCGTCGAATTCATGTCACGCCTCGCGAAAATTTTCGTGGCTAACCAAAGGCTTCGGGGCTCCGGTGGGCTAAGGCTTACAAACTGGTTTTATCGGGGGCTCTAAATTTTTTTTTTACGTCTTTTCAAACGAGTCTCGAGGTAGGTAAGGGCCACGGGAGGGATCAGACCCGGCTGAAATGTGGCTTAAGAGGAGTTTCAAGGACAGACTTTAAAATACCGAGTCAGTGGCATGTGGAAAATAATTGTGATGATTATTCTAAAGATCATTTGAGTTTGAAATATTGTGTTTTGATGTGTTTTATTCTTTCACTCGATTATTTATGGGAAATCATCTTCAGGTTCGAGGAACCTTTCATTTTTTTTATGAGAAAAATTAAAGTCTAAATCTGATGAACACATAAATAAAAACCGTAAATTTCAGTTCAATCATTTCATTAAATTGAAGAAATTTGCAATTTGAAATTGCAAAATTGCTATTTTTTAAGTTACGAGCATTGTCTATAAATAATTTATAAACAACGAATGTCCGAAAAATAATAATTCTGTTCAAAATGTAATTTTAATGGCGCTGTGCGCAATTTTTTTCAAATTTTTCTCAAACTGCAAATTTAATTGACAAATTGAATGATTGATCTGTAATTTCCTAATTTTTTCTCCAAACTGCGCCCAAAAAAATACTTTTTTTATTCCCTAAAAAATCCCAAAATGGGATTTTCCGTTGTAATCAAGCGCCCCTCCCTCGCCGGGGTTGAAAAAAAAATCCGGATCGCAGAGAAGTATTTCAGAGAAAAGCCCCCGCCTCCACATCCGCATTATCTCCACCTCTCGCCTATAATCCAGGCTTTTATAACGTAATAACGAGTCCCGTGTTTGATATACAAGTCGACTGGTCCACAAGCCCAGACGGTACCACATTGTTATCATCATCTCTCTCGGCACGACTGCCAGACAGAAAAGAAATGTCTGCCTCTTGCGCACGTTAACAGGGCCTTGTACTAATGCAAATCCAACAAAACATCGCCCCAAAGGCATCCCGAAGCCCCGCGTTCCCTTTAACTGTTCCACTCTCATTTATCAGTGGATGCGGCCAGTGCGTGATCAGGCAGATCCCATCCAGACGTATCCGGGGCCCTCGTCTCGTCTACGTGGGCGCAAGAAACGATGATCGATAGTGGAAACGATAGATCCGATAGATCGAATGCACATCTGCCGAGACTGCAGTGCACAAACTGCACCGGGAAAATAAATAAACCCGTGTCGATTCACTTCATCATCGAGTGTGTAATCTAATCTCCAGTGACTCAAGAGTGCGTAACATTTCTCTTTCCCTCTTCGTTCAATTCAAGGTCCCCCTCGTGTTCGTTTCGGCGTTAAAATCTATTTTGTTTCATTTTTTTTTCCCTCTTACATTCTCGCTCGGCCCGGAGTGTTATGTATGTGCGCAGTTAGAATGCGAATACTCAAGAGCCTGTGTGACTCACGTGCCCTTCCACTCAATGCCAATGCCAACAAACACACTGTTGTGTACCACCTTTCCAGACGAGTCTAGGTTTGTGTTGTTGGTTGGGCGTACGTGATGTATCATCGATGCGGGTCACACTGTCACGCCCAATCGCAACTCTGGTATGACCATCGCGTGACGCTAATTCGTGCAGATGTGAAAACGTGGATTCATATGGAATGGGTTATTTTTGCGGCTGTGCAATTGTGTTGTTGGGTTTAATGAAGAGAGGAGATTTGAGGAATCAGGGGGTGGATTTTTTTATTTTTTGTTTTCTCGCGAAGAGAAATGTTCAGTAAAATTACGGAACATTCGCTCACCGATTACGGAATTGACGCAGAAAATTTGAGTGACGGTTCGTGATTTTTTGACAGGAGATTAAGATGAAAATTAGGGAACGCTCTTGAAAAATTCCGTGACAGTTCCGAAAAATTTCCTACAATCACATTTCACTCCGGAATGATATGCAATGTTAGGAGTGTCTTTAAAAATCAAGAATGACTCCTTGTGTTTGAGAGTGGAACGATTCATACGATAGAATTCAAATCACATTCTGCTAAATTATTAAGCGTTCATTATCAATGGGAAATTATGGAATTTTATGTCGACATTTTTTCAATGATTCTATGATTTTTATAATTATTCCATTTCCTGCCGGTTTACTATTTAAAATTTGCAAATGAAAAAATGGAATTTGAAAAAATTCCAACAATTTCTGTTTTTTATTCCAAGAGTTTTTGGAATGTGACATGAATTACGCTCATTGTTTATCGATTTTTAAATTAAAAGATTCAATGTAATCAAAATTTGTTGAATGAAAATAAAAACAAAATAAAAACGCATTGAATTGATAAGTTTAGTGGCTAGAAAACCGCAAAAAAATTTGTAATCCCCACTGAATACTTTTCATAATAATAATCTCAGTGTCTTTACGAGTAAAATTGAAGGAAAATAAAATGAATGTTCCCACCTCCGCCTTCACCCAAACCCCGAACAAAGGACGATTAAAAAGCCTTCCCTCCACCGTCTAAAATCCTAAATCCCTCTCCCCCGAATGTTGACATCACGTGGCGGAAGATATTATTGCTCTGAAAAGTCATGATTGTGGCATGACGTATCGCCTAGAGGAAATTAGTGGAGGGGTGTGTGACACTCCTTTTGTCCGTGATGAAGTGTCTAAAGAGGGTATGCATAATCATTCTTCCATCCATTTCTCAGATTCTTTTTGTAGGCGTAAAACTGACGTTTTACGATATTTTGACGCCAGTAATAAACCACCTTTACGTAATCAAATGTCATCCGCCTATGCGGCTCATTCGGGCACATCAGGTGTGAAAGCCATTCGAGACTCTTATATTTTGTAATCGTTTGCAAACTTCCTCGTTCAGAGTTCAGTCATCATATCATATGCGTTTTGATTTCTTAAGAGATTTTTTATATTCGAGAAGAGAAGATTTTTTTTCTTCATTCAAATTAGGAAGAATCCTCATTAATAAATTTTTTATATAAAAAAATTAAATGCACTAGCCGCGTCATTTTATACATAAAAAATAGAAGAAAATAAAATTTATGGGGTTCATGATTCAATGAATGAAAATGCAAAAACAAGAATATTTAATTTTGCGCATGATGAATACGAAAAAATCGACAATTATTGAGCAAAAGAATTATTTTTAGAGAGTTTGCAAATAAAATTTTACAAAAGCAAAATTCAATTCAATTTAACAGTGAAAATATATTGGAGTTCTAAATTTAAAACAACAAGAAAACGAGAATTTCACAATTTCCTTGAATTATCAATCGAAACGTGAATATTTAGTACAAAAATACGCTGAATCGTTGATTTTTCCTGATTCCTATGACTTTCCATAATTCCACGTTAGTTATCAAAATAGCAAATTTTTGCCGGAGAAATCTTTTGAAACTTCATCCCAGAAATCCCAATAGTGTACGGCAAAAGCGACGTCCACTTCAATAAATGGAGGAATTACGGGGTTACGTCAGGTGTAGAGCGTCTTACCCCCGGGGTTTCTAACCCTTTTACTGCCACCGAGAATTCATAATTCATTGTGGGTGACTCCAGCCAGAGTGACTGAGTAAGCTCTTTCCCGGTTCCTCCAGGGTGCCGCATGAATAAGAAAATAATACAACAGACGGGGGGATGTTTGATGCAGAGGCACTATGTGACCTCGAGACGTAGCCATGACATTCAAAATTCACTTCACGAATTACTTAAGACCTACGTGAGGTACGTGACGATAAGGAAATGACGGGCAGGTGACAAACAAAAGAATTACTAAAGAATTCTAAATTCACCATCAACATGAAGTATCGAAAAAAAAAAAAAAAAAAAAAAAAAAAAAAAAAAAAAAAAAAA